TATATATATATATATATATATATATATATATATATATATATATAGCGTGCGGTTTGCGCAACGCGGTCGGGACGATATCGGGAGAAAGGGAGAAGGGAATTTTCGGTGACCATATAGTGCATTCTCCGAATCCGGTTTTGAAAGCCGAATGATGTCGATACGTGGCACCGGTTACACGACGTGTAGCCGAACAGGATGTCATTATGCGAAATATATTGACTCGCGCGTCAATTATGAACGGGTGGACGCTCCGAATTCGCGGCGAGTTTAAGTGAGCCTTTCGTCGCACGGTGAGGACGGACGGACGGGCGCAAAAATCACGGAATAAACTTTCCTTTCCCCGTGACGCTCCATTAAGATCATCCATTCCCTCCGAGAGATCTCGAACTAATTGTCGGGCCGCGTGACTGTTATTTTTTTCTCTTCCGCTTCCTATGGCGATCGCCATTATTATGGTTATCGTTGTATCTCCACCTAATTGCACTACAGCGCGCGCGCGAAATGTTAATTTCTATTAACTCACAGTTAATCGACACGGACGCGTGATCATTCACCGGCGCCCGACATCGCACGGCATTGCGAAATAACTCATTGTCCGTGGCGAGTGCAATACGTTAAACGTCAAAGTTCGGACTTACACAACAGATCCATCATACCGTGCTGCCGACCGATCTTTCCACGCGTGTCGTAACACAGATATCGTCCCGCTGCCTACACGGGTGATCGTTATGTCAAAGACAGGACATGTAACGCTCGAGCTTGCAGCGAGCCCTCGGGGAGAAAGGAGTCTTGGCCCATGGCGTTTTACATGCACCGTTCGGATTTTGACAGCCAATTTCGCTGACATATGTGTCGCACATGCGGCGGGAGCGACCGCGCCGCTGGCACAACTCTATGATCTAGAAAGGAAACTTTTCGGTCGTCCAGCCTCGACCGGATTCGATTTGGCCGCGGGGCATCCGCGAGAGAGCAAGGGAGGAGCGAGAGAGCGAGGGAGAGAGAAAGAGAGAGAGAGAGAGACACACAAACGGAGTTCGGTTCGGGTCCGGCCCGAGTGTATTTCGCAATTCGTTATACACTTCGCGCGTTTCCCTTACGCTCTACACTTCATGCGCCACGCCTGCTCACTTTCTATAGCGGAGGAGAGCACCGAGGAAAAAAAAAGATTGCGGTCGCTGGCGGTCGTGCGACGAACGGTGACGACACGTTCACCACCTTCGAGGCTGCTGCTGCCTACCTCCGTCGGATCCCACCGTCTCTCAGGTTCGGATCCCCGGTATTCACGATCTCGCTCGCCGAGTACGCCGACCGTTCTACATTCATCAAGTGTAGCCGGAGGTGCCGTGACAATTCGCAATCAAGTTCTCCCTCTTCAGATTCACGGAAAATTTTCAGACCTTGTTTTTGTGGCGAGAATCGAAAGATATCTTTAGGAACAATAAATAATATATTTTTCTAGAATATATTTTATAGAATTTAGATATTTCATCCATTTTTTTATGCAACTTTTTTACGCAAAAACTAGTGTGGCCTCGTGAAAAATCTGTGACTCGGAGAGTCATCCAGATCAATCAGATCCAGAATCAGATTTTCACGTTTTGTGGATACAGAGAATCTAAATATGTATTTAGATATATATTATCAGTATATTTCTCGAAATATATTTTTCCTATAGAATTTAGACGCTTATATCTTTTTATTTGAGTTCTACGCAAAAATTGGTCCCTGACATGGTCTTGTCAAAAATCTAGCTCGCGTAATCATCCAGATCTATTCCGACACACCTTGCACTGATTTAAGAGAGCGCTACGTCAATCAACTGCATGTGTATGCTAATTATCGTCGCACCTATATCGCCATCTCCGATTACACGGATCGATTCTGAATGCATCTGCGTTCGAAAGCGCCTTTTAATCTCGAGAGGATGTTTAGACGCGCCTCTCGAATTGCAAATCGTCCCGTATAAACGGCTTCCGGCCGGCCGACCACGGATATGGAAATAACCTGATGGATTTATACGGGAAGGGATCTGGGTGATGCATAATGCGCGCATCGATCGATGTCATTTCGTCGGGATTCAATAAACTATCCACTGTCAGCGCCGCTATCTGCGTTATTATCTCGTCGGGATTGGAATACGCGACATATCACGCGCATTGTCGCAGAGCTCGATCTCGTCCCGGCCGAATTGTGACTATTACGCACCGTGTAACGCGCGAAAAAGCTAGAGAAAGTAAAGGAGAAACGCGCCCCTCCCGTTCGTATTACGAATGCATGCGTAAGCGAAAAAGAACGGATGTTCGCTCCTAGCACGCTTTATGTTGCTTCTTGCGTGGGTTTTGTCGTACGTTAAGGTGTTTTTGCACGTAGAAGAGTTCCAAGTGTCTGAGCGTTGATTGGAATTTTAGACGCGTGTTAAATGCTTTGAGATGCGATCACTTTAGTGATAGTGAGAGGCCGATAAAAAAGCAATAAAAAAATAAAATGCGCACAGAGAGAACATTTTAGTTTCTTTTCTTCTATAATTTTTTTTCAAATTTTCCAGTAGTGCAGAAATAGAGAGTGTCAGTAAGATTTACCTTGCCAAAAAACACAGTAAATTTTTAACAGCATATTTCAACTTCTAAAACGTACAAATATAGCACATGAAATGAAAGGTTAATAATTTACTGCAAAATGTTGATTTACTCCTCGATTACAAGATTCTACACTGAGAGAAAAATTATCTTAAAATCAACAAATATTTCCTTGGTGGGTGCCATTAACATATTTACTTAAATCTACATTCTCTTTAATTAAATCAAATATTGTTTACTTGATTTAAATAAACAATATTTGATTTAAGCAAAGAGAATGTAGATTTAAGTAAATATGGCACCCACCAAGGAAATATTTATTGATTTTAAGATAATTTTTCTCTCAGTGTATATAATGGTTTTTACTATAAAGTTCTCTCCGCGTATATTTGCGTAAATATCAGTGGTTCACTTGCATCCTCTAAACGTTGTTAAGATCAAATAGAATCGATAAGCACACGGTCGGTAGAAGCGCGGAACTGAAGCTCAGTTGAATAATCGGGTCTGTGGGACTCAAGTGCACCTCTAATGGAAAACATCCTCTCTCTATTCGCTGGTACAATCAGACGAGCATTATCTGAAATCTATTTGTAGCATCTATCGTCTCTTTTCCCTGATATTTATAGATTCGTCATGTGTATTACTCCTTGTACAGTTACGAGGTAGCAAAGCCGGTCGGGGCACTCGGAATTAATCGGCGACTCACCTAGTAACGCGACAGCTAACAGTAACGGTTGTCGCGGCAGCCGCGGAAAAAGGAATACTTTACGATATCCGCGAGCTGACGTTGGAAATCGGCGTTGCAGATTGCAGACTTCTGACATTCCTTTTCAAGGACAAGGAAGGCGACAATCGTTCCCGGCGGGCGTTAGGTACCCATTCGCTGTTCCAGATCGAGCGCTCTAATGATTTTCCGCATCGATTCAGTTGCACGCTTTTTTTGCGATCGTGCGCTTGTAAATTTCCATTTGATTGAGATAGTGAGCGCTTGGAAGATAGAAAAGAGCCACGGATATTTGCGCAAACACGCACTCTCACTCTTCCTTATTGGCCCTCCACCTTATTACTTGAGTGAAAACGTTGACTTGACCCAAACTTTTGCACCGGCCCGCGAAAATGCGAAATTTTCTTCCGTCGAGCCGACCCTGCCTACGCGTGTGGTTCGCACTTTCCACATGCGAATAGTTGTGGGATCGGAGCAGTAGGCGTAATCGGCCGACGATGTCTCGGTGCACACACGCGGGAACACAACGGCGACGACGACAACGTCCGGCGACGCTGGAGGAGCGAGCGTGGTCGAGGCAAGAGGTATATCAAACGCAGGTAGGAGAGGTGTATACACCTCCTGCGAGTTTACGAGCTCCACGGCGAGCTCAACGAGCGGGCAGTTACCTTTCCGTTTCGAGACCGTGAGGATCTACCTCCCTCCATACTGCGGAGTTCGCCGATCACTACTTCTGGGTGAGTCTCGCGCGCGGTTTATGATCCACAAGATCTCGCGATTTTCGATGGCGTTAACTCGAGACGCGGACTGGCCCATTTACAGTGTCCGAACCCTTCGATGCTGGAGATCCTAAGAGCGCTTGTTGCATCCTGCGTGGAGTTCGCGAATTTTTCACGGAAGTGACTCGGTCTGCCGATCTTACCCGGTCGCACGCGATTAAGTGTGAGTAGTGCGGATAGTCCTGCGTCCGTTAAAGGGTTAAGAGGTTAACATCTTTCGCTACGAAGTTAACTTAATTTTGTAGTTTTCAATACGAAATTAAGGATACTAGAAAAACACTTGATATCTTTAAATATAGTAATTAAGTGAAATGGAGTATACCCACCAAAATGTCCAGCAACGAAAGGATTCGTTTTCGTTATTCAATTGCAATTTTTATTTTTAGAAAATTTATCGTGTATATATAGTTTTTTCTCCAAGTAAAAAGAGAGCGATCTGTTCTTAGCTAGTAATTGGCCAGGAATATTAGTTTCTGGCCAGTTTCTAACCAAATCTTTTTTTGTATACAATTCTGTCAAATAGTTTTCATTGTCCGATTCTACATTGTAAAATAATATATTTTTCTATTCAATATAAAAATAAGACAAAAATAAGAAGGTAGAGTTTTAGGTTAGAGTCTACATACACACACAAATTTATTATTCATTATTGAGATGATTGTAGCTTTATTTTTCATTTTATTATTAATTATTTTTAATTATCATTAATTTAATTATCATTTTTTCTCGCCTAGTTTTTGACCAGTAATTTGTCAAGTAACATTACTAGCATTTCCCGAGTTTTTAGAAAGAAAATCTTTATTAACTATTTATTAGCCATTTTTTATTGCCTAGTTTCTGATAAATATTTTCCAGTTTATTTTCTGAGCAGTAACTTCCAATAAATCCTAACCAGTATAAATTAGCAAGTTTCTATTTTTTTCTAAAATCCAGTTTCTTCTAAAAATATCTCTATTTGGGTTGTTACTCACATAACTAAGCATATCAATATAGATATGATTATAACGCAACTGATCTTTTTATAAAAATAAGATTTGTGGGTTATGGGAAACTATCTCGATGTTTTATTTGAGCCGTAGAGGTTGGCAATGACTCAAACAAAGGGCAAAACCGTTTCACGTTGCCCGAGCATTCAGAGCACTGCATTTTAATTTTCGCTTTGATAACTTTCACTGTTGGTCGCGATTTGTTTGATCGCGGCTGTGTTACGATGCAATCTGCAATCCGCGCGAGATACGCCGAGGGGCTCTTATGACAGAGTGAACGGTCGCATTAATGATTGTGTTGATGAGAATGACAACTGAGAATAACGGCGAAAGGATACAATCCGATATAATCGTAACGTGCAATTATCACGGTCAATCTCGAAGTCGACTGTGCTGGCCGCGTCGACACACACCTGACACATCGATGTTTACAATCTAGAAATGGGGACTCTTAGAAGAGATAACAGTGCCACTCACATTAGAAGTGATAATTACAGATGGTGCCGATAGTGTCGGGGGG